AAAATGTAAGTCATGCAGGACAGACTGAAGTCTAGATCTGGAAGTGGTACTTGTATCTGAAGGAGAATCAGAATTCCAAGGCTTCATAGAAGAAATGTACCTTAAGGAGAGACTGCCACCGAAGAGGGGGAGATCATTCAGCACATGACAGATGGAGCTGCGGTTGCAAGGATGATATATTATCAATGCTTACGTAGAATTTTAGTGCCTTACTAAAGTAATGCCTTAATAAATCATCTCAACTATACTTATACTCCTTGGTGCAGGAAGAATTAAAAACAGGATGAAGCGAGCCAACAAGATTCTAAATGATAATGTTTGATCCAGTGTTTTCCTAAAGTTGCTGCTGTTTGGTTTATCATCCTAAACTGAAACCTAAACACTACTTTTTGTCACAGGCTTAGGTGCATGTTCATATTGACCTTGTGGTTAAAAACTCTGGATTGGGACTCAGGAAATCTGGGTTTGGTTTCCAGCTCTGACCCATTCTTCACTTAATCTCCTTGTTCCACTGTTTTTCATCTGCAATATGATTATAATAGAAGTTTTACTTAACAACTCTCAATTTAGAGAAAAGGCTTGTGTTTTCTTAGTATCTACCACAACTGGCCACTGAGTCTAGACTGACACCTCTAGGGGCTATTATAATGGGGACTACAAAAGAAAGCCCATTTCTTAACACTCTGCTTAAAAAAAAACAAACCAACAGACTGTATCTGACCACTTTCACAGGTAGGACACAAAACCATAAACCATGACAGAAATAAGCAATTCAGAGTTTCTTTGGAGAGAAACTGCTTGAATGAAGAGTTTTCAGAAAATTCATTTTAATTTTCAAGCTAACATCCTAACTGCAGTTTCCAGGATCTCTAAAACATTGTTTTAACACCAAATGCAATATCGCTCCTTAGATCTCTTAATGAGAAAGACATAACAATTTCAGTACCTTCCAAAATTATCCTAAAATAATTTTAGAATGTGGACTGAGCTTAAGGTCAATGATATCTTTACGTTTGCTGACATGTCACAAGATTAGCAAACAGAATCAAATATACAAAAACAAAGAAAAATCAACCCTCCTGAAAATACATATAGATTACCCAAGTTGTTTTTGCTACATGATTACAAATATTTTCCAGAAGTTATTTTGAGAGAGCCTTACTAAAATAATTTATCACAATATACTAGACACTGACATCATGGTTTCAAAGGTATGTATACATTACTGAATTGATACAAACATGAGAGGTTATGTGATAAAGTTCAGCATGCAAATTAATAACAAGAACTGGAATTAGAATCACTGTCTTCTACAACCTAGTCAAGTTCCTGACTAACTGGAATAAATTTAGTTTTAAAGTAATTTAATTCCTACAATACAAGTAAAATCAAACTTATTTTTCTTTTATTCTCTGGATTGTAGTAATGATAACTAATCAACCCAAGTTTCATTCTTGTTGCTGATATTATTATGATACCCTTGTAATTGATGGGAGTTACAGTTTTATGGACAGTTGGGATACCATTAACCTATACATACGAAATGTTAGCACATAGTTAAGAATATGAATAAAAAGATTTAGATTGTTACTTACTGACCTATAAAATTGGTCCACTGTACCTAGGGATAATATCGATGAGCTGGAGAGGCCACAGTGAGGCAAAAAGAGGTCAGCACTATATCTCACTAGTGAGAAAACTTTCTTTAGTTGAAGTGGAGACCCATGCCATCAAGTTCTGTGGAACTGAAATATCCATTTCAAAATACTAAGGGCCAGATTCTAGTCTACCTCTTAGATATGTAACTGAACTTAACTGACCTTTTCCACCCTGAAAAACTATGGATACAAAAAAGGTTGTTGGGCCCTCCTTTCTGAATTTGACTCAGGTCTCAAGTATCAGATGATATGTTACACAGGATATGCATTAATATACTTTCAGGGCCCTGAACAGAGTGGAATAGAATCACATTTAAGCACCAAAGTGCACACAGATGTCCAATGGATGGACTAGGATCTAGATCTAAGTGCCTAGCTTTTATGGCTGCAAACAAAATAGCTTAATGGCATCATCATACTTTTTGTTTTCCAAACAGAAGCTGAGTAAAACTAACAAGACTTTGGTTGGTTTCTCAGGACTAACTTCCACACTGAAGAATCACATCAAGTGTACTCTACTACTCCTTGGAAACACTATGAATTGACCCATTTAAGTCATACTCATAAGTATAACTATTTGCTACTTCCAAGACACCCAACGCACAATGATTTTCTTTAGTTTTAAGTGCTGTATCAACTCTTGGAAAAATGTCTGCCTTCAACTGCTGCGCCTTGTATGCATTCTCATGCTTAACTTGGCAGTGAGATAAATGCCTTAATTAGGCCAGCTGTCTGGTACTACAAAAGGTAAATCTAGATTTGGATCACCTGTTTCTTTAAGAACATTAGCTAACGTTTTAAAATATAAGTGTACATAGGACAGGCTGTATTTTAATAGGGTAGCTCATCAAGGTGAACCAGGGCTCCCGTTTAAGATTCACTTCAACCAGCTTGCCCCATCTACACAAAGGTTTAAAGACAGATTAGTTAAAATATTAGTCATTGTGTTATTTGTAATTACTTTAATCTTAGTCAACATGTACCTTGTATTAAAATAGGGAAACCACATTTCAGCTTTCGGAGCTCTCTCAGGCCAGGTATACACCACAATCTTTTGCCAGCATAGCTTTGTTGGTAAGAGATACAAGGAGGTGTGATCTCCGACTGACATAGCTGTGCCAGCAAAAGCCCCCCTGGTGTAGCGGCTGTTACACCAGCAAAACTGTGCTTTTGCCAGTATAGCTTATTTTGCTGTGATGGGGGTGGGAGAGGGAGAAATAAGGTAGTGCAGTTTTGTCAGTAAAAGGCAACACCATGTGAGCAGCACTTGCTGGTCCACTGTACTAACTAGACTGGCAATGCATCTAGTACAGACCAGAAAACAAGTTGTAAAGCATTTCCCTTTCTTAGAGTATCCTTTTAATTAATGCATAAAACATACAGAATTATGAGTCAGGCCCCCAAAAATCAGAAGTGGCAAATCACAAGTAACTGTGGGATTCCCTTTATTTACTTCCAGTGTCATGTTTCAAAGGTGTACTTTTTGAGCTGTTTTGCTGCAATCAGGAAATTTACTCATTTTTAAAAAATATGAAAGTAGGGATTTTCATTTGGTCATTTGACTCCAGGAGCTGGAGCTTTAAGGGAAGAAACAACAAGAACGAGAACACATTGCAAGATTTGTAATAAAGAAAAAACAAAAAAATCATAGAAGCTGACAATGTCAGGAGAAAAGTTATGATCAAAACAAATGTTTATGTTCAACAAAAAACTGCAGACTTTATGAATCTCCTCCTATTAAAGAATAGAAAAAGCAAGCAGAAAAAGTCAAAGGTTAGTTGTTCCCCAAAGAGGATATTCACAAGCATAGGTAAAAAAAAGAGGTAAATCATATACTTGGTACTAACAAGTCCAGCAGGATGAGTGTAATCTATTCTCAAGATAACACTAGACTTTTACCAATTATTTTAATATAGATACATATGTAATTTAAAATGCAGTAGTAATACAATCCAGATTGTATTTACTATAGACTCAATAAAAAGCAGTCTTTCCTTATTTTCATCAGATAAAAAAAACAAAAGAAGGCATTAGTAAGTATGTTACCAGAAAACTTTTAAAAAAAATACTTCACTCCCCCTTTCCATACATCAGTTACACAATCAGGTATTTATAGACATTTCAATCAATTTAATTCTGGTTTACTAGCTTCTAGAGTACCGAAATGTACTGCTAAATTGCTTGTTCTGTTTTTTTAATAATACTATAGAGACAATTTTTGCTTTGGTAAATGAAGCCAGAATAAGGAGAACAAATTAGGAAATCTGATCTGCCAGAATAATGTGATATCAGAAAGTTCAACTATAATATTTTAATAGATGAACATTTTGAAATTATGGAAACATTTGCCTTAGTTGGAGGATTAATATAATCTGCCATAAGTAAACTACTGCCTTTCAGATAAGTTTTTATAAATATTAGTTTGTCTTAAGTAGCATTTATAAAATTATATTAATGGCATACATATATATTATGATTTATTTTAATAATTATTCTACAGTACAATGGAAGTGCATGCTCAAACAAAACACCTCAGCAGTATTTTAAAGCAGTAACCACCTAGCCAATTTCTGTACGTTCTGTAGTTTTTTCTAATCCACTCTCCCTGTGGTTGAGCAAAATCGAATTGCCTCTCACATTTGCAGACAGCTCTGTGAAGGTGATAATAGAGCTGCTCCCTGCTGTCATGAGGCAGGAAATAGGAAAATGGCATATGGGGCTAGAAAGAAATAAAAAGAGAACTAAACAAGAACAAAAGAGATTTCAACAAAGGACAACTATAACCCAATATGCTTTGCAAGTTAATCTCTTTTCATAATCATTTAACATACTTAATCATTCATCTGCCACCCTTACTCAAAAATGTGAATGGTTTAGACCAGGACTTTGGCAAACTTTTTATTGTCTAAGATCTGGAATGCAGATAACATCAGAAACCATCATGTTCAATGCCTACAAAATACATCATTACTTGTGCAAGGAACTGGACTCTTCCCAATTTGCTATTAAGAAGGTTTAGCAACACACCCAAAATTTAATATCTTAAATGATCTAGTACACAGCATATACATATGTTAGTCTGTTTAGCTAGAAAAAGCTCAACTGGTTGAATGGGTGTTGAATAGCAAATGAGAGTGAGAACTGATTATTGCAAATATATAAGATAGCTCAATATAATATGGCTCATTCAAGGAGAGCAGATTTCAGTTCATTTATATCCTGGGAAAATTATAAACAGTTTTGTTAAATATGTGCCCAAAATTTAAGACCTACTATGCATTTCACTGTGTTTCAACTTCAAATCTTTTTTTAGTAAATAAAAAAACCCAAAACTGACTGTACCTTTCCTTTTACACTCTGGATAGGATCCACCACCACAGCTACTGCTCTTTCTGATAGGGCTTCAAAGCTCTGTTGAGTATTGATATCCACACCAGACAGCCAACAGCCGAAGCCAGGGTGACTATGATACCAACCAACAACCATCTCTGGCCTGAAACAAAGACAGCATTCTGAGACTCCTAACAGTACTAGCAACAGAAACATAGGCTATGAGAAGAAACACTGAAGAAACAGGGTATAAATTAGGACAAAAGATGAAACACATAGGTGTGAAACAAGCACCATTAGAAATATTTAAATTACTTACCATAGTATGGTAAAAACATGGACATGAATAAGTGAGACAAAGGAGTGCTATCATTAAGGGATGCACATTAGCAGTGGTAGATCATGCTTTCAGTTTTTCACCCTGTTACCACACCTTCCCTGAACCAGTTTTTACCCTTTCAGCACTTGAGTAAATATCTACTCTTTAACTCCTTGGCGTCAAGAGTTGAATTTTCACGGCAGAAAGTCCATTTCAGACATGGACGACGGGAACCAACGGTGGGAAAGGATTAAATATCAATTAAACCAGCAGTAGAACTAGGAACTCAGTCAAAAAGCAATTTGCACTGTTCTGTTCAGCTGCTGAGCCTTTTGCTAACATTAATTTTGAAGTTTTTTCCACAGTAAAAGAATTTGTGCAAGCAGATGACAACTGTTGAGAGGTACAGAGTTAAATAACAAAAATTTGCTTAAACACTAGGACACCTTTTATCAAGTTTTTTTTCCTTTCTTTTACCTACAAAGAGCAACCACAGGCTTGTAAATAAAGCTATGATGTTTTTATAATTTTACAAATACAACCAGTAACACTGTTTCTTATAAAACACCATTCTGTAGCAGCTTCCTTTTTCAAGTAGAGCAACATTCCAACCCCAGACTATTATATGATAATCAGGGATGGAAGCATATTCCACTGATCTGCATATGAAGTCTGTCTCCTGCACTTCAAGGGAAGACATGACACGGGCTGCAATAAATACTTATTCGTCACAACTCTAGGTCAATTACATCCGTTTCAGCAGTGATAACATCCCATTGGATAACAGGACTTGAAGGAAGGAGGAGGAATAATGCACAAAGCATCACTAACTTCAGATGTTGCTTTAAAACAGTTACTTACCTTCCTGTCTGTTTCAGCATATCCAACATTTTGGCTTGAAATACTGGATCAACTGCCTCTACACTGACTCCCTGATTTGGAAAGACAGACAATATTAATGAATTCACATATAAATTATTTCAAGATATAAACATGCATACCAAAAACATCTTACTGCTTTCAAAGAAAAAAATCCAACACAAAGTGATTTAACAGCCTCACTAATAAAGACTTTTTTTTTTTTTTTTTACTATTCTTTATTACTTTTAAGGGGAAACAAACTACTTTTGAAATTATCTGATTTTTAAGCAAGACTATTTTAATAGGCCATCTTTAAATAGAATTATGAGTTTATAAATACATCTATTTCTACAGCTCCTCTAAAAATGCTACAAATTTTCTGATCATCTGTTCAGAATATTTTTTTAGGTTACCAACACCAGCCAGCATGTACAGCAACACTCATGATTGTTTCTCTTCTGTTTTTTTTGTTCTGTACAAACTGACCTGTTTCCTGCCAGGTCAATTTGAGCTCCACTGTTGCTGTTATGGATAAATATCCACTTGCAAAACCCAGGAAAGGGTTCCATCATCAAAAAACCCCCAGTGAAACTGACCACACTCACCATGTTGGCAAATGTACAGAATAAACTGAAGAAAAGAGGGAAAAAATCTAATAGTTCAGTAACATCTGATCTTAACAGTTACTATCCTCTTAAAAGCAATATTTCACTTGAACTACACAGAGCCACTATAAATTCCAAATCCTAACTTCTGGTCATCACCCTCAAAAGATATTCCTTTCTTTTATCATTAAATTCATTTTTTTAAAAACTGAGTATTTTAAAATGAATTCAGCAACATATGGTTTGCAGGCTGGATCCAGCCCACAGAGCCAGCAAGCTTTGGTGCCATGGGGCTTCACCTGTACCCACACCAGGGCCAAATGCAGGGAGTTGCACCATGGTGGCAGATGGAGGGTAAGGAAAGATGGTGGCAGGAAAAGCAGCAGTGGTGGCCAGGTCAGAACGCTGGTTCACCTCAGGCCCGAGCCCAAGGCTGTTCTCATTCTAGCCCACAGCTCTGAAATTTTGCCAGACAGTGTTTTAAAACATTCACCCTTCAATATTATAAAAATATCATCTAAAAATAATTCTATTGGAGTATAAACTCTGCCACAAACAGTAGATTCAAATTCACAGTTTCAGTGGTAATAATACAGTCAAGGGCATGACATCATTTCCATCAAACTCCTCCTTTCTAGGGTTCATAATTAGACCATAATAATTCTCCCAGTGCTACAGTTTCATATACAAAGGTGCTGATGTCAATGATCTATGAGTTCTGTACACTGTGTTTCTATCCCTATAGAAGATCCAGTTAGTCCAGGAGTGGGCAAAACACAGCCCGCCAGGCCATTCTATCTGGCCCACGGGGCCCCTAAAAAATTTAGAAATATTAATACTCATCTGCCCCTGGCTGCCTGTCATGCGGCCCTCGATGGCTTTGCAAAACTCAGTAAGCGGCCCTCTGCCCGAAATAATTACCCACCCCTGAGTTAGTCTCTCCTAAACACCATGCACATGCCATAAATTTGTTGAAAAGACTATGAAGTGGTTTAACATTATCTAGTCATAAACTTTAGGTAAGCAAAGATGGGTATAACCCAGATGTCTAATTAGTATTTTCTCATATCTTATTAGGGATAATGGAAGAAAATGGGGGGGGGATGGGGGGCTGTTCCACTCATAACAGTTTTTGCCACATTAAATAACATTTCCTTTCTAATTCTTACTGTAAAGGCTCACCGTTCCTGACTGTGGCATAGCAAACACATCAATTACTCTCACAGTATAATCATCAACAAATTCTCCAAGCATCAGACCCATAACTTCCATGGGGACACCAGCACGACCATGTTTCAACATCTGGAAATGAGACCAAAGTTATAACATAGATGTAGGTTTGCCTGGGAATTTTTTTTTTTGCTTCTACTGCAAGTCTTAGTTTTATTTTTTTCGTTAGTTGACAGCTCATAATGTGATTTGAAAATATAATGCACTGTAAATGTTCTAAGAATTATAAATACAAAAAATCATAAACCATTTAAATAAGCGAAGTACTTAAATAAGACTGAAAAATAAATTTAATTAAAAAAACAATCTCGTAAAAAAAAAAAAAAACTAAGGAGTCAGCTCCACTGACCTTAAACAACTTCACTTTTTGGATGATCACAGATGTAATGCCCTGTTGTAGCCACAGTGCCATTTACAATAAATGTGTACAATTACTTACTTTCAGCAGTGCGAGGGAAGAGATATAAACCTGTTCTGCTGTATCCACCGCAGGAGCATCCGTAGGTGGCCCCTATGAAAGAGAATGAATTAAGGATTTTTTCCTCCATATTTATTATGCCCCATTTTTCAATTATTTCTGTTGTATTTTGCAAACTAGTGTAAAACTTTAAGAATAATGTGTGCATAAACATGCTGCTATATGCAGTGAATCCGTGGGTTGCAGAATTTACAATGAAATATCATTTCCATATAACAGTTATCCACACAAACCAATCATCATCCAGTGGAAATTATCTAGCCTATCTAGTCAAAATCAATGCTCAATTATCTAAATTAGCTAGACAGAATCAGTCAAATAAAATAACCAATACTGCAGAGCACACACCTGTTAGGCTACGAGTCAGATAAGTTTCTATTAGTCAGAGTTAAGTCTTGCAGCTAAGCTAACCTTCCTCAGCTGTAAACTATGGCCAGTTCTCCAATTAACTGTGCATTTCTTACAGTGGTGTGAATGTAAATGCTGCTGGGCTAGCATGATTAACTGGCACCAACACAAACAGCAATTTCCCTTTTGCTTCGGTGATTTTCAACTAAAGAAGACTTGCAGATAAAGGGCTACAGGAGCACTTTGCAGATACACTGGTACAGTGAGAGAAAAATGGACCTCCAATCCCTAGGTGAAAAAGCTGTGAACAAAATACTTTGCTCTTTGCCTTATGAATAGTTATTTGAAAATTAGCACAATTGTCCCAGGTGTGAATTATTAGCTGAGGCAGTATTGTATACTGCTGAAACAGGAAAAAAAAAGCAGAGCAAGAAGTTTAAAAGGTAAAACTATACTGTTCTTGGGAAGTAAGGGACAAAATGTCCTTCTCTAAATAATCATACCTCAATCTATCCCATCCACCAGCCAAGCAACATTATGTTCACACTACTTCATATATGCAGGGTCTGCAATGCATTCACAGCAAAAAGGATGTGGAGAAGCTTGAGAGAGTCCACAGAAGAGCCACGCGCATGATCAGAGGTCAGGAAAACAGACCTTATGATGAGAGGCTGAGAGCCATGGGCTCTTTAGCCTGGAAAAGCACAGGCTCAGGGGTGATCTGATGGCCACCTATAAATTTATCAGGGATGACCACCAGTATCTGGGGGAACATTTGTTCACCAGAGCTCCCCAAGGAATGACGAGGTTGAACGGTCATAAACTACTGCAAGACCATTTCAGGCTGGACATAAGGAAGTATGTCTTTACTGTCCGAGCCCCCAAGGTCTGGAACAGCCTGCCATCGGAGGTGGTTCAAGCACCTACATTGAACACCTTCAAGAGTAAATTGGATGCTTATCTTACTGGGATCCTATGACCCCAGCTGACTTCCTGCCCTTTGGGCGGGGGGCTGGACTCGATCTTCCGAGGTCCCTTCCAGCCCTAATGTTTATGAAATCTAAGAAATACTAGAGAGGTAAAAGTAACTCCTGATCTTCTATGCAATGGAGAAGAATTTGGAACAACAGACTCCCAGATAAATCCAAACAAGACCCATTAACCAATTTACTAGATATAAAGTGAAGTAGGTGATGACAAGCATTTACACCACTGTTTCTTTACATTTGGATAAGTATTTGTCTACTTTTATCATGCACACAAACATGCTTTTTTTCTCTCCCCCACACCCTCCCCAGCCATAGCGTGGTACATACATAACACAAAAAACTACACTTTTTTGGCAAAATAGTCTAATTCTGGTGACTTTCTCCAGGACACATTAATATGCTGCTGCTTCATTTCTCCCACCTTTCCAGTAAATTAGCCAACTACAACTCTCTCCTAAAGCTCTCAAACTCCCTCATCTTCCAGACTGCTTTTGATACTGTTGACCATATCCTTTCAATTTAAATTTGCTCTTCCTTCACCTCAAACTTCCAACTCTTTTCCTCTTCGTAGTCTGTAGGTGAGGATTCTCAACTCACATAGTTTAAACTACTGTCCTTAGATTTATGATTTGCTAATAGACCTTCAGTGTTTCTGCTATCAATCTAGAGTTGTTTTTCTCCCAATACTACGTTTTTTCACATATCAGACACATCCAAATTAGAAATGCACCTTTTTTTGGAAAGCAGAATGTAGGGGGGGAAAAAAAGATTTTTCCAAAGAGTATGTTCCTGAGCACCAGAGTCCAACATGCAACACACCGTCTCTCTGGGAGGTGTGGGGAAGAAGGAGAGACTAGAGGACTGTTTTCTCTCCTGAGAAGCCATGGCATGTACAGACATTCTCTGTCCCAGGAGAAACTCTCCTGGGAGTGATTTAACCAAAGTTGTTCCTAGGTTATTTTTCTCCTGGAGCAGCCATTTTTATCCTGAGAGAAAAATTCTCAACATCTGTATGCTCGTGGCTTCTCCTGGGAGAACAGTGCCTTTCCCAAGAGAAATTGAATATCTGTATGAGACCTGTTTCCAGAAGGACTTAATCTACCTGACATAAGAGTAGGCCCCTTGCTAGGGCAATAGCAGGACTGCTATTTCTTTACTGTAAATAGTTCTTTACATAAGCTCCTGTAAACAATAAAGCACTGTTGCCACCCACAAGCCTCATCAAGATACTACAGACTGCACGCAGCAGCTCATTTACCCCTTTAGGCACAAACTATCATGCTCAGGCTGCGAGAGGGTTAACATTAGACTATGCCACTTGGGACTTACAAGGTCATAGAAAAATGCCAGCTACTGTGAAGTGAGAAGACGTTGTACTCTCATCGCTGCCTACTGCCCTTTCTTTTCTTCCAGTGAAGAAAAGGAAAAAAAAAAAAAAAAAAATCAGTCCACCCCCTTGAGAGACACCCCAACTTTGGAAGGGTGATTCTGAGGGGAAGAGATTCATGTGGCATCATGTGAATAAACACAGCACAATGTGAACAAAACAAAACTAAATGTCATCCCTGCCAAAGCCCCCTGGTTCTCTTACTTTATCACTTGAACATCATCTCTATTTTCCCAGTCCCTCTGACATAGACCCTAAGGTACTATACACACCTTAAGAAATCTTGCTTCAAGGAAAACTTCTTAGATAGATCTGAGGTATAGTTTGCCATATCTCAATGACATCCTATTAGTTCCTTAATGACACCTTCCCTACCTTACTCTAAGACTATCCTAAAGAGTCCATGAACACACCTAAATGACATTCTTTCAAAAAAAAATATATGCAGACTTATGTACTCACTTAGTTACTCCATAGCCAGACAGTACATTTCTGACCGTACTTCCCTAGGAATGCCCAGATTCCCAAGGCAATTAAGCACATGTTTAGGTACCATCTCAAACATGGATGCTTTCCTAAACCGGATGGAAAGAGGGGAATTTAGCCTGCCACCCTTTTAATGTCTTCATTGCTCTTCAATGACAACTCTCCAGTTTAGTGTGATTACAGCAGAACTGCATAGTAAAGGACTTCTACAGCCTTGCTCTGTCATAGGAGGTCCCCATGAATGTAGTGCAAGTCTGTTTTGGCTTTTTTTGCCATTATATTTCATTGCAAAAACTCATGTCTAACTTGCTGCGCACTAAAATCTTTAAATATTGTAAGAGACTTATTGGTATAATTCTATGTAGTACCTCTTTCACTCTTTGTATGTGCCCTAACATTAAAATCACATTATTTTCTACTTTGGTTTCAATCTCTAAGTTGCTTTGCATTAGTTTTGTTATCAGTGGTGTTCACAAGTCCTCACAGTTTAGAATTTTGTTAATTATACTAATATGAATTTTATTCCCTTTTCTGAATCATTAAAAGACAGTAAGAACAGACCTAACACTAATTCCTGCGGTGCATTATATGACAGAATCACCACACGTTACTATTACATATCTGAAGGTCTTCAACCAGCCAACAATGTTCAGATTAATCTAATATGGATTAATTTTGGGAAAAGAAATTAATGAGAATATATAAATGCTCCACTAAGGCATAAGCATGTACAACATCCACTTGCCTTCCATCCACTAGTGTTTTTAATTATATCACTGGGTCTTGCATCATTTATGCTTAAAACCACACTGTTTACAGCACATCATTCCTCTGTCTACTAGGCATGACTTTTTTAAAATTAATTACTTATTCAACTACTGCATTAAGGGAAGTCAAGATTATGGTATAGCAACTGCAAGTATCACCTTTCTGACAGCTGAATGAGTACTTATTCAAAGTGCAAAGGAAGTCTAATGAGTTGGGTACTAAGTCTTTCCTTTCCAACTAATTCACCTTTCCAACTTCATGACTTCTGAAAACAGCCACATAATGATACCATTTTACTTGTCTTAAACAAGTAAGATACCAGAGGATTACAAACTACTCTTCCTCACTCTATGAAGTCCTGTCTTACCTCTTTCTGACTCAGTTTCCCCTCTTGATATTTTTAAATCAGTCTCCCATTTTATTTTGCTCCCAATTAACAGGGGTTCTTTTTGTGAAGACTTCCACACTTATCTCAGCTGCCCATTTTTATTTCTATAAATTACAATAGCAGTTCTTTAAATTGCCACATACCCCCACCACATTTTTTGAATAAAGTGACTGGTGCATCCTGAGTCTGGGGGGGCACAATTTGTGGGTGCGGCCAGGGGCTGGCCAAAAGCCCCATATCCACTCCTATACTTCTGTGCTGCAGTTTAGTGTCTGTCTCCCCCACTCCCCAACAAGCTGCTGAGCGGTGCCAAGTCGGGGGCCAATCTCGGGGGGGGTACGTATCCCCCCGTACCCCTGCTATTAGTCGCCTGTGAAATGTTTTTACTTAATTTGCAGACTAAAACATCCATCCCTTCTGAAGATTTGTTTAAAATAAACTTCAAACAATATACTTAACATCTGCTCTGATATGCTAAAAGTCATCCTTCCCCAAGCCTCATATAAGGCGGCCAGTTTATACAGAAGCGTTAGTATCATGTCATTGTATTTAATGCAAATTTCAGTTTATTTAGTGCTTTTCCTTAAAAGATGCACTGCATAGAAAACAAATAGGGGCGTGCATTTTCCTTTTATAGGGAAACAGGGATTCCATTATTTTATACTTT